AAGTAGTACTGAGTGTCAGTGAATGCAATGAGTAATACTAAATGAGAAGTATGGTAATGATAATTAAATAACTGCATTGACTTATTTTGTTTACCAGCAAATTGCAAAAAGAGGTAATTGATGAAAAAATTGCCTAGTTTGTTTATGCAACAAACTCTCCTTTCTGTATGATTGAGAACCCACACTTCATTAACATGGTTCAGTCATTACGACCATGATACAGTCCTCCCAACAGAGATGTCGCAAGTAAATTGCTGGATAAAGTGTACGAAAGAGAAATTGGGCAGTGTGCAAAAGGTCTAGAGGGTAAAATTGTTAACATGAGTCTTGATGGGTAGCGCAATGTCCACAATGATCCTCTTGTATGTGCTTGTATGACAACAGAAGAAGGGAATGTCTTCCTTACAGAAACAATTGATACATCAGGAAATGCACATATAGCAGAATACTTACAAGAAGTAGCAGTAAAAGCTATAACAAACTGTGAAAAAAAATTAAAATGTCTAGTATGCAGCTTGGTCACAGACAATGCTCCAAATATATCCAAGATGAGAAGAAATTATTTAGAAGAGAGTGAAGAAAGTCCCAAGCTAATAACATACGGTTGCAGTGCTCATTTGATGCACCTCCTAGCCAAAGACTCCAGTGTTCCAGAAATAAAGGCTAATGTTGTTGAAATTGCAAAATCCTTCAGTAACAGCCACTTTGCAGCAGCTGTTCTGAAAAAAAGTGGGAGGAACCAAGCTAACTCTCCCACAAGACATGTGATGGAACTCAGTCGTGGACTGTTTTGAGCACTATATCAAGAACTGACCTAATCTGATGACAGTTTGTGAACAAAATCATGAAAAAATAGATGGCACTGTCACAGCCAAAGTTCTCAACATTGGGCTTAAGAGAGATGTTGAACACATGCTGAGTACCCTGAAGCCTATTTCTGTAGCCTTGAACAAAATGCAGGGAAATAGCTGTTTTATTGCTGATGCTGTTGAAATTTGGATGGAACTGAGTGAGATCTTAAAAATATGCAATGACAGAGTTAAATTACAGGCATTAAAAAAATGAATGGGACAAGCACTATCTCCAGCTCATTTTCTTGGAAATATTCTCAATACTCGGAACCAGGGTCAAAACTTAACTGCTGAAGAAGAGGAGTTGGCTATGACATGGACATCCAGCAATCATCCCTCCGTAATGCCAACAATAATAAACTTCAGAGCTAAGGGGCACCATTCAAGAAATATATGTTTGCTGGTGATGTTTTAAAGAAAGTCACACCAGTGAACTGGTGGAAGTCATTTAATCACTTGGATTCAGAGACTGTTGAAGTGATAATCTCACTTTTAACAGCAGTAGCTTCTTGTACCAGTGTAGAAAGAATATTTTCTTCCTTTGGACTAATTCATTCCAAATTATGAAATCATTTGGGACCTGAAAAAGCAGGAAAGCTTGTTTTTCTTTTCCAGATTATGAACAAACAGGAACATGAAGGTGAAGACGACTGAGTTAGCTGCAGAAGCCAATATTTTAAGTTTCTCAAGTTGACCTGGCTGACATAGTCGATTTAATATTTTTTTTAAATATTGCATTTAACCATTTTAGTTAAAAAAAAAAAACTAAAACAAACCTGATTTTTTAAAAAAATGAATATTTAACTAAATTCAAAAATTCATATGCTTGTTTTGTTAAAATATTATATGTTTGCTGTTGAAGAAAAAATCCAGAATACATAAGATTGTTGTTTTAGTTAAATAAAACAATTTAAATGTATGGTGATATTCTCCTCCTAATACAGCATGGCGAGAAAATCCTCCAAATATTAATGATTAACCTGTTGAACTGGAGATAGTTCACCTCCTAATGACTTCATAAATATCTGCTTCAATTACCTTTGGTAAATGAAATAACCAAACAATCATTCATTTTAAGATATAGCTGTAAAACTAATCTGAAAATCACATTAAAATGTATAGTGTGTACCTTCTAATAATGAATCCTACATCTATCTATGAGTTGTGAAGAATATGTATTAAGGTTATAACAACCAACAAGAATGGACTTTTATATAGAAATGCATGATTAAATTGAGTCTTCCTGACTAGTGATTTAAATCATGATTTAAATCAATTTGATATAAATCAAATCCACCCTGCTAATTTTACCCATTTCTGTTTATCCATCCCTATCTATCAGTGCATGACTTAGGGCAAATCACTGTTATTCTTCAAAGAGAAAAGCAACCTATAAAAGACATTTAAAGTATTCATGCCTCCATCTAAATTAACTTTAGAAGTTTTGCTTAAAAGTAGTACATAATATTCAAGTGCTAACAATAAACACTACAGTAAAATTATTCATGGCTAAATGTTTGCAAACAAATGGTGGTGTACACATTGGTCTTCAAACTCTTTGGTATATATCATCCCTGAAAGTAACCTAGATACTTAAAACTCACCAACATTTTCCAGAGATTTACCCTGAGTTTAGCCTCACAGTTCCTTAAAAAAAATTGTGGGCCAAAGTCTTGTACAACTATGAACATTTAGGGGCATATCTTCAAATGTAACCAACTACACTGCATTCATTTTCTGAATAGAACTGACTCTGATTGTAGCAATAACCTCCACTTCTCAGAATTGTCCCAGGGACAGATTGTATCTAGGTCAATCCCTGAAGAAGTATCTAAGAAGAGAAGATACAAAATGAAGATCACATTGTAAATAATATGATTACCACTGGATGTTCAATCATAGTTGAGGGTTTTGGGCAGATTTGTTACCTCATGAGGAGTAAATAACTAAGTGAGATGAGACATCCAGAAAATCAACCTTTCTATAGTTCATGTTGCAACCCACTAGAACTCAGGAACCATATAGTTATTTTTCATAATTATATCTGGAACCCCAGGGTAGGTTAAGTTAAATTAAATTTTGGGTCCTTCCCTTTTTACACCTGCAATTATGTAGCTCCAGTTTAGGTCACTGGACTATCTAATATCTGATTTACAGGTGTAATTAGTTTTTCAGCCATCTGAATTAAGTAAATTGTATTGGAAAATTGGGAACACTAAAAGGCAGGCTTTGTTTGGAAAACCTGGCCCTAAAGTATATCATTACTTTTTCAGCAGAGGTCTCATCCTATACACTGTTGAGAGTCTCCTGCAAGATAAGTGTCTTAATTACCACTGAATTTGGGAGCTGTCAGTACATCTCCAAGACCAGCCCAAAGTATAGTTTCATAACAAGCAAATGAATAATCTATGCTAAAATCATATAGCTTTTGGAATGTACAGTAAATAATAATGCCAGATAAGGAGAAGGAAGAAAGATAAACCAGAAACCTGGAAGTTAAAAAACAAAGGAACCCAAGATACAGAGGGAGAAATAGAAGAGGTATACAGTAGGTTTTCAACTATGGAGGTTAAATAATACACCTTTGAAGTGTACATAAATTAACAATGTAGTGCCATTTAGCTGTTTTAGTTATGTAGATAAACCACAGATCATTTAAGAATGCTCTTGTGGAATACATCACAAGAATTCCCTGGCTGAATGAATTATAGCCTTATTATTTACTGCTGTGATGTACGTTATTTCTTAGGAATTTTTTTTAAAACCTTCTAGATTCTGTTTTATTCTTAGAAGAATCTTGGCATGAACCTTTACATAGGAGTTATAAGAGGAACTATAGAAGTCCTTAAACAGTCCCCTGAATCAATTCCTGAAGTCAACTTGTATTAAACCAAATGCAACTGGAATGTAAAAAGGTTTCACTAGCTAACACATTAAGGCATGGATGTGTCTACACTGCAGTTAAACATCCATGGCTGGCCCATATCAGTTGATTTGGGTGCGATCTCACAGCCTGGATGTCTACACTGCAGTTTTATAGCTCTGCAGTCCAGCCTGAGTCAGCTGACATGGGCCAGCAACAAGTGTTAGTTGCAACATAGACATGTCCTGTGTGACTTGACATTTTACTGCAGAGTTAGGGGCAGCTGATGTTTTATTACTAACAGTAAGAGTAATTATTAAACCTAATTACTCATGTTGGTTTCAATGGCCACTAGTCAAATATTTCCACTTTTGCTAGTATACAATTAGAACTGGGTGGAATTTTTTCAGCAAGTAGTAAGTTTGCTGAAAAATGCATTTTTCAGGACAACAAATCTATTCACGAATTCAGGTTGCATTTGTTGAATAGTTTCAGCTGAAAAAGTCCCCCAAAAAACAATATTTAAGAAAAGTTGCAATGGTTTGTTTAGAAAATGTCAAAACAGTTTCAAATTCACAGTCAAACATTTTGTTTGACCTAAACAATTTTTTTCTGGTTTTTCATTTCTGCAAGAAAAAATTAAAAAATTCAGTTTCATTTCAAAACAAACCAATTTTGTTTTCATATTTTCTGTTCAGCCACCAAACAGAAAACAAATCAATTATTTTCTTAGCTCCACATATAATGCCATGTTTTGATCATGATTCATTAGCATTCATATTAATTATGCAGAAGTTCACTGACTTCATTAGAAGGGTTTGGTTGTTTCTCTGGGCACAGTATTCACTTTTACTATGCAGGAGATTACTTACAATTTTCTAGTGTGTTGTGGTTTTTGTTGCTGTTGTTTTTTTTAAACTTGCAATTTGCCACTTCAGCTCCTTTTACAAATATGATGATGTAAGTCATTATCAGGAGTACAGGGCGCTCTGTTTGGTGGTTTATTTTTGTTGTTTTTACTGTTTTTTGGAAGTACATGATACATTGACTTGCAAGATTTAGTACTTGATTACCCAGTAAATGTTCACATAACATACTGTTCTCTGGAAATCATTTGTGTTTTGAGTTTTAATACCTGACAATAATAATTCATTATACCTCCCTTATTTAGCTGATGATGTGTAACTTCAACAGTAAAAAACACCATATAATTACAACTCTCAAATCTTCCTGATGTTTTTAAACAGAAAAAAGAAAAGAAGAAGAAGCTATTCAAAGAAATTTACCTGACCGTCCATCCCGCTGAAAGTCCACATGGTACCACTCTCCATCATTCACCTTCTTTTGCAAGGCTTTTATTTTAATAGTACCCGATCCCATGTCTAACAGCAGGTAAAGGTAACCATCAAGCATCTCAATGGCAAAAAAGTCAACCTTTACCATTTGTGGGTGTTTGGCATCTTTCTGATGCCTTGGTTTTCCATGACTGAAAAGAATCAGTCCATTTGGCTCAGTTGTGCGAAAGTCAAATGATATTGACCCTGTTTTCTTGGCATTCCACTTTGGCAAAGAGATGAAAGACTCTGGTGTTTCAAATGTGATTGGATCCAAGGTTGCAACATTCTCACATTTAAATGCTACAACTCCATGAATCTTCATTTTAGGGTCTCCTTGCTTGGCAAGTCGAGATAACTCCAGTCTGACATCATTATTTTTATATACAACCTGCAAACAAAGCACAGTGGTTACAATGGTAGAATTAACAGTATTAACCAATCAAACATAACCCTCAATAGGTTCAAGCATATCAGTTGCTAATAATGGATGCTATTTAATATACGAGAATGTACAAATATATACAATCATAGAAATGTAGAGCTGGAAGAGACCTTGAGAAGTCATCTAGTCCAGCCATTGCACTGAGGGAGGACCAAGTATACCTAGACAATCCCTAACAGGTGTTTGGCTAACCTGTTCTTAAACATCTCCAATGATGGGGATTCCGAAACCACCCTTGGAAGTCTATTCAGTGTTTAGCTATCCTTATTGTTGGACAGTTTTCCCTAATACCTAACCTATATCTTACTAGCTGCAAATTAAAGAGATTACTTCTTGTCCTACCTGCATTGGACATAGTCCTCTTTGTAACAGCCATTAACATATCTGAAGACTTACCAGGTTTCCCCTGTCTTTTCTCAACACTAAATATGCCCAGGTTTTTGAAACCTTTTATCAGTTTAGTTGCTCTCCACTGGACTCTCTCCAATTTTTTCTTACAATGTGGCACTCAAAACTGGGACACAGTACTCCAGCTGAGGCCTCAACAGTGCTGATAGAGCAGGACAATTACCTTCCGCATCTTACATATGTCAACTCCTATTAACACACCCCAGAGAGATATCAGCTTTTTTCACAACTGCATCACATTGTTGGCTTATATTCAATATGATTCACTATAATCACAGATCCTTTTCAGCAGTACTACTGCTTAGCCAATTATTCCCTGTTTTGTATTTGTGCATTTGATTTTACCTTCCGAAGTGCAGTACTTTACACGTGTTTATTTAATTACAAGTTGTTGATATCAGACCAATTCTCAGATTTGTCAAGGTTGTTTTGAATTCCAATCCTCTTCTCCAAGGTGTTAATAACCCCTCCCAGGTTGGCATCATCTGCAAATTTTATATGCATACTCTCCACTCCATTATCCAAATTAAAAAGCACTGGACCCAGGAAAAGACCCCTGTGAGACCCCCTAGATGCATCCTCCCAGTATGACAGCTAGCCATTCATAACTACTTTTCAAGTACAATCTTTCAAAAAAATTTATCCACCTTATAGTAATTTTAGACCACATTTTCCTATGTTGCTTGGGAGAATGTCATGTGGGACTGTCTGAAAAGCCTTACTTTAAATCAAGATAAATCACATCTACAGCTTCCCCCTTTTCCACTAGGCCAGCAACCATGTCAAAGAATGAAATTAGGTTGTTTCGGCATTATTTGTTTTTGACAAATTCATGTTGGCTATTATCTGTAACCTTATTTATATATATCTATATCTATATAATATATGAAGTAGCTCTTTTCATTAACTAACACTAACACTAGCTTGAATTAAATCAAACAGCATTGCTCTAAAAATATCCCTACAGTTAATTCAAATAATCTAAAAGAATCTGCACAGAATTTGTGCTATCTGTGGCAAATTAGCTTTTGTGTACTTGATTGTTGAATAGCCTTCTGTGTGCAGCCATTTTGCTGATGTCACTGAAGTATTAGGTTTCTTGCTCCCCTAAGCTCTTTATTACTTTCTTAAGTCTTGTACTCCTGTATACAAAATCTTTCAAGGTCAGATATCACTTTGTAACATTTTTTCCCATACGTTAACACATTTTTGCCTTGTTCTAGGAATTGGGGATAATAGCATCTGTGTTGATCATGAAGCAATACAATTGGGACGCCAATATCAGAGAAAAGACTGAAGCAAGGACAATCACAGACAGTATGACTGGATGCCATGCTGCTGAATTTCCCCAACATCAAAGTCTGGCTGAAGATTATTGGATAAAACTGAAAGACAGTATTTGTTTTTAATTTAATCAACCTGCATTTCAAATGCTTCTGTTCCATATCACACATTTGTTTTACTCCACCCCCAGGAAAAGCTGGCCACACAAGTGATTTTCTAAGCAATAAAACCACTGCTGTCATACAGTTTATCAACATATTCTGGTAGAGGTGTTCTTTCTGTGTTCTGAATAACGTGACTGCTGTATATGCAAGTCTCTCCACTAATGGGCATTTGGGATCATGTTAAACAATCAATAAAATTAATCAATAATGCACAGTAAATGCCTGGCTCTGAAACATCATTAATTGAGGGTCCCAGTAAAGTTGAAATCTCTCTTTAGCCCCCTAACATTTTGTGTTTCTAAGGGTATGGCTACACTTTGAGATAGGAGTATAATTTCCAACGAAAGGAGACATAGCTGCACTAGCTCTGATTGAGCTCGTGTGTTAATAAATAGAGCATAGCTGTGCTGGCATGAATGGCAGGAGGGGTGAGCTGCCTTGAGTCTCAGATAGGTATGTAGTTGGCAGCTCGCCCCTCCTCTTGTTTGTGCTGTTGTGGCTACCCTCTAGTTCTAGAGCACTAGCTTGACCAGACCTGGCATGGGTGCCTCTCCTCAAGTTGGGAGTTATGAGCCTAGATCAAAGGTAGACATATTGTAGATGACACATCTCAGGAGTGTCTGTTGTAAAATAGTCTCCAAATATAAACATATATTAAAAATGTGAGGCCCAGATCCTCAGCTGGTATAATCATTGGAACTCCATTAATTTAAATGGAGAAATTACAATTTACGCCAGCGGAGGATATGACCAGACAGTTTTATAATAAATAATGGTGGAACATATTCCACCATATTAAAATATAGTCCTAAAAACTAACAATAAATCTCTCCCCCTCTTTCTCACTGGGTACAGTTCTATACGGTGCTGCTTCTTCCCATTGGAGCTGAAGGTGCTCAGCCCGTCTTAGAATGGGTCCATAGAGAGAAAAAAATAGTCTTTACTATACATATGCAGACATTAAATAGGCCTGAATCTTATCTTACCCTAGTGTTAATCAGTGTCAACTCCAATGAAGTTACTAGGCAAACTCCTGAGTGGGCAATGGGATTGGCAAACAGGGGAGTGTGGAGAAGGAGTGTGAGAGGCTCCCTTTCTAGGTATTGTTCTGTGATCAGTACTGTGATGGTCAGTGACAGAACAGTGGTTGTGTCCTGCAACAGATGTGACATGATATCTTCCCTGCTAGAAGGGAATTCCTCTGTATGAAGTGCAAGCTGGTGGCTGTGCTGGAAGAAAAGATTTGTGCTCTGGAAGGACAAGTACAGACACTGCAGACTATCAGAGAGCTTGAGGAAATCTTGCACTAGCAGAAAGAGCAAGCATTACCATGCTAGATTCAAGAGAGAAAAGAACTGTCCACCGAGGAACCAGAGAGCATGGGCACCAAAGACGAGGCCTGGCAGTTCATAGCCACCAGAGGCAAGAGGAGGAGAAGTATCCAATTGTTATATTCTTAGTGTGAAAACAGCCCAAAATATCTCTTGTTGTTTGCAGTGTTGTAGCCATGTTGGTCCCAGGATATTAGATACACCAGGTGGATGAGGTAATATTTTTATTGGACCAACTTCTGTTACCTTAAGATATTACCTTGCCTACCTTGTCTCAAAAATATCTGTGAAGATTCACTGGTCCAATGAAATGGAGAGCTTGTATGGGACACACCTGCGGAGGGATGCTTAGCATGCCCACAAAGAGATCACCAACTATGCAAGACAGACAGACTGTCCTTGTTGGGAATTCTATTGTAAGAAGAATTGAAACAACACTTTGCAAGGGGACACCAGAGTGGTATGCTCTCTTCCTGAAGCCAAGGCATGAAATGTGACTCTAAGACTGGAAGTTGATGGGAAAAGATCCATTGGAGATGGAACATATTGGAACTAATGACACTACTTCACAGATTTTAGATGGCTTAAGGGAACTCAGAGGGATGCAGAAGGTCCAAGTGATCTTCTTGGAGATTCTGGAAGTGAACCACTGGCTAGGTAAGTGGTGTAACATAGTTTAGTGGAACACTGACCCACCTTCCTCGGGGGAGGGAGTGGGCTTTATAGTTTGGATGAACTTCATCACAGTAGAAGGGGAACCAATTTTCTAGGAGACAGCAGGCTAGACTAGACAGCAGGGTGTTTAACAACAAAAGGGGATGGTGAAAAGGGGGAACCAATGAACACTCATAACTAAATCAAGATGTTGGGAACAAAAATTAATCAAGTAAATCAGGGCCATGAAGAGAAAAAAAACCTAATTGCCTATATTCCAATGCTAAGAAGTGTGGGTAATTAACAAGAGGAACTGGAATTGCTCATTTGAGAGCATAAATTCAATCTATTTGATATTACTGAAAATTGATGGGAAGATCCACATGACTAAAATGTTAAAATCAATGTTATAGTCTTTTTAGGAAGGACTGAGATGGCAAAAGGGGAGAAGGATAGGGCACTATGTAAAAAATGGCTTTATCTGTTTCTGAGGATATGTCTAAACTGTAATAAAACACCTGCGTCTGGCCTGTGTCAGCTGACTCAGATTCATGGGGCTCAGACTGCAGGACTATAAAATTGCAGTCTATATATCCGGGCTTGGGCTTGAGGCCAGCTGTGGTCCCAGAGCACAGGCTTCAGCCCAAGCCTGGATATCTGCACTGCAATTTTATAGCCCCACAGCCAAGCCTCACGAGCCTCAGTCAGTTGACATGGGCCAGCTGCAGTGTTTTATTGCAGTGCAGGCATATCCTTAGACACTGACAACTCAGATGCAAATGGTCTTGACTGTTTATGGATCCATCTCCTAAGAGATAGATGGGTACTATTGGTGTCTGCTGAAGACCACCACATCATACTAGAGAAAAAAGGTAACTGACTCCTTAAGCATCTATCTATTATGGGGGGGAGGGGAACTCTGTTGTTATAGAGAATTACAACCCATGTGACATATACTGGAGATCTAAAGCTGCCAGTATTGAAACATCCTCAGAATTTCTAAAGATTATAGATGACAATTTCCTAATTCAAAAAAATGTAGCATCGAACATGAAGGAATTTTATATTAGACCTCATCTTAACCAATAAAGAGGAACTGATCACA